ATGACGGGCCTGGGCCTGGGCCTCAGAACGGGCACGAGAAGCTCATCAGCAATGAAGGTGGTGGCGCAGGGAACAATCTTTAAAGTTTGGAGGCCGTGAGATTCAGCATCAGCACTTGGGGGTGGCGCTTATCAGATAGAGCTCCCTTGTCTTAAGCGGAGGCATCGGAGTGGGGTCTGCTCAAAGCTGAAACTTCTCTGCATGTAGAAAGCCAGTTTTAGCTCTCTACGGGCTGCATGGTCTGTTGTCATGCTTAGGGTCCCAATGCAGGAGGCTTGAACTGACTGCTTGCGCACCATCAGTCCAGCAGATCTAATGCCGACATGTGCTGATGTGACCGATTGCACCATGTCGGTCGAATTATCAAATCGGGGGGAGGGACCAGCTTCCAATGGGGAGCTGCATGATGACGTCAGCGAAGGTAACCTGGACACAAAGCGCCTGCTGACGCCCCGTAGAAGACAGACTGGCGGGTATGAAGAAATCGCAATGGACATTGGCCGCCCAAGCCCAGGTAAGGCCCCGCTAACTCATCACGAAAGAGTCAGCTTTCTGCTAGGGAGCAAAGAAGTTCCTCGCCCCCTCGCTTGAGAAACCTGAGGGGATCCCTCTGGCAGAACTCCCTTACACAATGCCTTCAGGACAGTTGGGCAAGATATAGTTGTCAAGGTGAGAAATGTGATGGGGACCGCTTACGTCCTCAATCGATCCATGTCGAGACCCTATCAAACAGGAAGGCGAAAGGGGTGTTTGCCCCATCAAAAACGATCCCGACTTGGAATGTTACTGGACCTTTTTTGTGCAGACGGAACCGCTCTCCTTCTGGAGTCGATGTCCCATGAAATTATGCGCCTGCGAGTGGCCACCGGCGGACTCGCTATCTTTGCGGTGCTGGCGACATTCGTGGCAATCGGGCTGGCCATAACTAGGTGAGGGGCAAGTGCCACCACCATGTTGTTGGCTTGCCTTGCGGCAGGTTGCATGATCGGCGGACAGCCCTGGTTTCATACTTTTGCGGTGGTTGGTTTGGCGGGTTTGGCGTTGTTGATTGGGGGCAACTGAAAGCAACGAGCTAGAGTTGGTTGCACCACCTTTGACGAGTAAGCGCTGTCCGTATCAATGTTCAAGTAGACCCTTCATTTATGAAGTGGGCTGCGAGGCATGATTGAATATTTTGATATGCACGGATCATGAGAAGTAGAGCCTCAACAAAAAGCCGCTTTATGATTTGCAGGTGGGATGCAAGCGCGCCTCCCCCAGTCGGCCGCAGCCCCTGTTTTGACAACAGCATATATCAGGATTACGGGCCGATAGCAAAGCAGATCATCTCTGTGGCGACATCCGGGCCCAGCTTCGGAGACGAGATCCATAAGCGCCTCGAAAAGCTGTGCTTCACCTTTGGTCCAAGGTTCAGCGGTACCGACGCTCTGAACTCAGCTATTGATTGGGTACGAGCCACCCCTTCTTCAAAATTGCCAATCCTTTTTTCAATAGAGATCCCCTAAGATCTAGAGATCCTAAAATGAGGCATCGTTGTAAGACGACGCATTGCGATCAGGAAACAAGAAAGTAACAGACTTTGTCCCACCTCGCAAGAGAGAGTCATGGTCTTTCCTCCTTCAAAAACCACTCGCATCTTACTCCTGGGGCTCTCGTACTAGTGGCACCTTTCCACACAATCCCGTCTTTGTCGCCTGTTATCATTCATTTTCATCTTGTCCGACCGCTCTCTCGTGACTCGCTCCCGCTCCCCTCGCCCCGCCAGGTGGCGGAGGAGATGACGCTGGACGGGCTGGAGAAGGTGCACAAGGAGGCGGTAGCCAACATCTCCAACTGGAAGCGCAACGAGGAGTGGGTCTACATGCTGCAGCCGCGCCTGCTGGAGCTGCCCATGCTGGGCCTCGGGGGGAGCGTGGCGGGGAACGTCCAGGGACAGCTGATCGCCGTGGCGGACTGGGACGAGCTGCATCTGCGCGCTGATGAGGTGGGGGTGCGAAGCAGAGTTAACGTTTGAGGACGATGAGTGTTGGTTTTTGTATGCGGTGATGGACAGCTGTTGCTTCAAGTCAGTGAGGAAGGGCAAACAAGGAAGGTTGATGCGAAGTCGCCTTATTCAGTTGCATGACACCGGTTGGTCGAAGCGACTAACTTGGAAGTGGTTTGGGTCCTCGACCGTATTTGTTCTACCTGAATGAATTGGTCACTTGTAGAAAAAGCTGTCTGTTGGAGAGTGCAGCGCGTTTGTGGGCCCACAAGATTGAACATTTTAGGAAGGAACGAGCTAAGCAACTCGGGGTCCAACGAACAGAAAAACCGTTTCAATCCAGGCCGATATTTCACAAAACGAGAGGTCATGGTTATCGGCCCCCACTTCCGCAGGTCGCTGGCAAGATCGTGCTCTTCAACGTGCCCTTCACCACGTATTCGGAGACTGTACAATACCGCTACCGCGGGGCCATCGAGGCAGGCAGGCTGGGGGCAATTGGGGCGCTCCTTCGCTCTGTCAGCAGCTTCAGCATGGGCAACCCGCACACAGGCGCCACACGATACGAGGAGGGGACGCAGCCGATCCCCTTTGCGGCGATCGCAGTAGAAGCGGCAGGTGAGACCATTTGATTGACGGCTGTATATCGATGCGTTACTCCCAAGTGACGGTGCAGACGTGACGAAGAGTGGGGCTGCAATAACGTTTGCAGGGTCCGAACTACGGAGGGAGGGCCCGTTAAGAGCTCTACCCAGGTGCGAAAGCTACAGGCTTGATTGCTCTTTGAGCTGGTGTTGCGACCGCTGCTGGCAGCCACTTAGGTGTCGGCCTGCCGCGGACGGATTGTTGATCTTCAGAACAGCCGAACTTTTTTCGTGTGTGCATGTTTCCCACCATTGCTGAACTTTCAGCACTAGTGGCAACTTCGTTTTACGTTCGAGGGTCGTTTTCGCTTGGTGTCTCCAGTTAGTGAGCTGCCCACTTGATATTTCCATCTCTTCATGCACTCGAGCCGTTGTTATTCAGCGATGAAGATCCTCGTACCCGAAGTCCGCGCACGTGACTCATTACTCGAGTTCCGGCACAGCATATGGACAAGAAATCCCGAAATATTGAGAACAGCGGCTAACCGATGATCCCCGTAAACTCTTCGCGTCCTGGCAGCACGAGTACGCTCGTGGCGCTCTTTGAGACGTCGAATCCAGGCAGTGAAACACTCCCTCACGAGAATTCCCGCTCGCCATGCTTCAAACGCACAGCTCTTATCCTAACGCAGATTTGATCCAGGGCCTGCTGGGCACGGGGCAGGCCGTCGAGGTGCACCTGCAGATGACCGCCCAAACCGAGGCCCCCGCGCAGGCCTTCAACGTGATGGGCCAAGTGACCGGGGGAATGACCCCCGACGAGGTGGTCGTGCTCGGGGGGCACATCGACTCCTGGGACGTGGGCCTGGTGAGACGTACTTTCATTGCTGGCGGCAGAGGGCGAGCGTTGAGTAAGAAACGGCACTTGTTTGGTTAAGGCGAAGGAGCTGCTGGCAGGGAGTGGCCGCTTTTAGCGCTAAGCTTGGTCTTGAACATTGCATTGAAATTCTGTTGTGAAAGTGAGTGTGCGTTTACACGGGGTTCACGCTGGGCCGAAGTGGTGTTAAGGGCCGACATGATTGCCACGTTCTGCACGAAACAAACGTGGCAAAGTATGGCGAGGAATCGCACTCTGGAAAAGGATTACCTCTCTCGTTCCGACTGTCCTGATCGAGTGCTGAAACTTTCTATCCAGGGTGCGATGGACGACGGGGCGGGCTTGCTGGTGTGCTGGCACGCCGTGCGCCTCATACACACGCTCGGGCTGCGGCCAAGGCGAACGGTGAGTAGCTCCCGCGGATGAGATCAACATTCTGGGTGATCATAGAGTCTCGGCCGTTTGGAACCTGCTTGCCGCTTACACAAGATTCCTCAAAACCTGGGAAAGTGATCCACACGAATAAGGTTTCGGAACGTCGGGGAGAATTGCCCTTTCAAGCAAAGCGCAGGTGTCCAGCTCCGGCGGCTGCTCCGTTCCTCTGACGCCCCTGCTCCTGTACCCTGATCTTGATCCGGAGAGGCCTCCTTTTCGGCTTGCGGAGCTGGCTTCGCCGGTTGCGACTGACCGGGACCGAGGAGTTGCTGTGCAGATACGCGTGGTGGGCTGGGCGAATGAGGAGCAAGGGCGGGTCAACGGGGTGCTTGGGGCCGACGTCTATGCTGCGAAGCACCGGTGAGGCGCCATTTCCGATTGGTACAGGGGCGCGTCTTGTGCATGGCAGCCCTTGAGCGGAAACTCGAAAGCGAAGGGAAACCGTCGGTTCTTTTGAAGTTGAGCAGCAATCGTGGCTGCCGTCTTGGCAAGTGCTGGGGTTTGTGCGCTCTCGAACGTGGAGGCGGAAGTAAGCAAACTGCCGGACGGAAGTTGCCCTGGATCTTTCAAGCGGCTTTTGGACAACGAACCCGATGGCTTCCAAGCCACGCTCACCCTTGACCTTGCTTCACCATTCATAAGTCGGCAGTCAAATCCGCCCGTTTCTGCTCGTCCTACTCTCGTCGTGTCCTCTTCAACACTCTACACTCGTCCATCTCAGCCCCGCCGTTTTCAACCTCTCATCCAGGGACGAGCGGCACGTCCTGGCTATTGAGTCGGACAGCGGGGCATTCAACCCGCTGGGCTTCACATACCTGGGTCCCGACAGCGCCCTGCGGACCATGCAAGCGCTTTCCGGCACGCTGCTGGGGGCGCTCAACGCGACGCAGGTGGTCAACGGCACGGGAACGGGGGCGGACGTGCTGCCGATGTACGAGGTACGGGCAGTGCACTTTCGCTGGTGGCGGAAGTATCGGTTGGAGGCAGTTATCGGCGGGGATACGTCTTGTTGTCGTGGACATTGGCAATATCTCGTGGGCGTTCCGCTGCGGTCCGGGGTTCCATTTTGGCAACCTGGATGAGATTGACGGCTTGAAAAGAGGGTGTGCAATTATGTTGGTGTGGGAACGGGGGGCCAAAGCTTCTGCGTACCCAGCTTTTCGTGGCCATGAGTTTCAGGCTCTCTACTCTGCCTCAACCCAATGGCTGTGAGGCTAACATGTTTGAGAGGATTGCTGGCCCTCTCAAGGGAAGATTGAAGGGGCAGGCTAATGCTTTCTGTTGCTCAGTTATGTTTGTAAGTACTGGGATTTTACTTACTAACTTGCGCCTGCGGCTTCGTGCAGACGCAAGGGACGCCGGCGCTCGAGCTGCTGACGGATGCGACCAGGTATTTCTGGTAAGCGCGGTCTGGCCAATTATCCCCCCACTGGAATCTTGCGCTCCCACTGTGTCTCTGCCTCACGTCTTTGTGGGGGGGTCAGCTTCAGAAATTACCCGACCCCTGGGGAAAGCACGCTGTATTGGTGCCGCCCAAGAGGTGGATGCGTTGTGCTCGTTCGGAGATCCAAAAGCAAGAAGTTGGTGTTTGTTATGGTATGCGTCCGGCGCTCACATTGCTCACACCGTTTCAGAATTGACGATCTTTTTGTCCAGGTACCATCATTCAGTAGCAGATACGCCTGATAAAATGGATCCGGATGAACTTGCACGCTGCGCAGCTACCTTAGCAGTCATAGCATATACAGTTGCAGATTTGGAACAACCGCTGTATATACCTAGATGATCAATTTCGTTTGGACAACTTGCTCGCAGTTTTGAATTTTGATCGAAACGTGCTTTGACCATATTCGCATGCAATGCGGTCTTGGGATTAGTCAGTCGCACTGACCTTGGGTATTGCATTGAAATTGCTTATGCTCTATATCTTGCATGGCAGTGAGAAGCGTATGCTCTATCGTGGACCGCATAGTGTCTATTGAATGTTTTATCGTGCATTAACAGACGGCACTAGCTCATGCAAGTCAGTCTAGAGGGTCCACATGGGCGGAATCGCATAGAGCTCATCAAATCTACCTAAGCAACCTTCCATGCACTTTTGAAGTTTGCACTGAGACTGCACTCATTTGACTCCCGGCCTGAATACCGCGAGCCCAGTCTGCCCGACCGTCGAGCTACGCGGGCGGCTGTGACTGCATGTGATCGAGCTTATAGTTCGATGCATGCATATTATTGCATCAGCTCGACATGGTGTCATATGGCGAACATGAAATTAGTGCTATCATGCATGCTTTAGAATATTATTCGATTGTTGGATGCAACCGTCACATGACTTTGGTCCATGTTGACCAGAGTTATTTGAGCAAACCCGGCTTGCAATTTGCCCGATCTCTGAGTCCCCTTGCAGCTAGCCTGCAAGACTAAGTTCTAGACCCGAAGATCGACGAGATCAACTACTTTGACAGCCGCCCTTGGATCATGCATCGAAGCTGGCAATGCGCCCAAATCCAGCCTTGCATGACACACACAAGTTATCTTCTGCAGAGCCATACAAAGCAGATTCTATGGCATACATTGCACGGAGGTAAGGATGGTTCGATAACGTCTCTCAGAAAGGAGCTCGTCAAAGGAGAGTTTGCACACGCATTATTGTGCGGATGTTCAGAGTAGCCCTGGAATCGATTGGGCTACTTGACTCGCAAAAAAAAGAAACGTTCCCATGTATTCATTGGAGCAACAGCGAGCACTGGATGCAGTCCGGAGCTTGGGGCAGACGTAGACCCACTGCCTCAGCGCTTGCCTCATTACTCCAAGGGTGCCCAGTTTGCTTCAAAACGGGGCCAAACTTTGCTGGTCATCCTGACCATCATGATTATTACAAAATCTTCTTCCTTTCGAAGTAACCCTTCAGGTACGTAGCTTGCCACCCCGCAACGCCCAAACACACCACCAATGACAGGATCCCAAACCAGGCTACTCGAGAGTTGGTAATCTCGTTCAGGTTCCGCATCTGCATCTCGCGCTCCCGCATGTACGTCATCTCCTCTAACACAGAAGTTACCTGGAAAAGAGGTCAAGATTTGTTACTTGAAAGACAGTTCTGGAATGAATCAATGGAAAGCAACTTGCAAGAACAGACGGAGCTGTGATGCCGTGTCCAGAACGGCGGCAGGTGACGGTAGAAAACGGGTCAGCAGCGCTGCACTGTGTGATCGCTACTCTAACTGCACACTACAGTACTTTGCAGATTTGACATGACCAGTTCAAACGCCCAACAGTTTGACCACCAGTGATTTGACAGCAAATGGTATACTGTCGCAAATTGCTAGTGTCCCTTGTAAAATGTGATGCCTTACGTGGCCCACGCACCGAAACATCGTACGCCATGTCTCCAGCAAAATCTTAGACTTCCTCACCTGCGCTTCCAGCCTTCGGAGGTCAAGCTCGATATCTGTGATCTTATCCTTCTTGGCCACTCCCTCCCAGTCCTTTGCGTTCACCCCAATCTTCCAGTTCAGCTCCACAGTCACAAATTGGCCAGCCGTACTGCCGGGAATCCAGAAGCAGGCCATCACATTGCCCGCCTCTTCAGTGGTGAATCCAAACTGTCCGCTTGGAACAATGTCGCCTGAGTGCAGCAGCTTGCCGAAGGGCGACGTGACTTTCACCGATATCTGCAGGGCAGGACAGATTTTCTTTTTATCGTTGAGCTCGAGGCATTCACAGACATTCTGACCAATCCGGCAGCTTCTTCAGGGTGCAACGGAAGCAGGAGGGCTGTGAATTGCAAACCATTCCTCGAAGCAATTGCACTGCAGAAAGAGAATGTTTTCACCATGACACGAAGGATTCAAAAAACCAATACCAATCACAATGCAACAGAGATGGTGTTGGAAGCAGACCTTCTCAACAGCTGGCGCAGATGCTTCCACCACTTTGTATTCGCCGACAACTAAGGTGCCCTTTCCTATTTCTTCTCCCAAGCATTTGCTCGAGCCCCCTTGGATTTCAAATTTGATGGCTTCACAAGCCACCAACAGACTGATAAGCACCGGTATGACCTTCCAGGGAGCCATCGCTAAAAGTTTCTCTTACAATTCAATTTACGTGGCCGCCGGCGGCTCTGAGACTCGCAAGAAAGTTTGTAGCTCGCTCAAGTAAAATCAGTGGGGAGCATTGGGAGAACCAAATGATGTGAAGAGTAAGGGGTTGACAGATCCCAAAAGAAACCAGTTTGTGGGCGCTCCCTTCCGGGGTACGCTCCTTCCGCTGCTCTGCAAGTTCAATGAGGAATGACAAGATCGCCCTGGGCGAGGGCCTGATCGAAGAGCTCCTCCTCCCAATTAAACCACCACCCAACCGGTACATATGGGCCAGCAATGCTGGCCAATTTCATAACTTGAACTTCACGTGTGAAGTTCAAGTTGCGCTCATGGGGCGCACGCATTTGGCACTAAAATGTAGCATTTGCCCAGCTCATAGCATGCCCAAATCATGCTTTTCCGTGGCGGTGTCAAGCTCAGTCGCTACAGAGAGGCCTTGCAAGAAGGCGCCAGGCTTTTCAGCTCTTCAAACCACCAAGAATAGCTCAAATAAGCTGAGTGTGGCTTTTTAGGGCTTACAGGCCTTGTTTTTGGCCGTTTGAAGAGCCGGGAAAAGGAGCGCATCTCAACGGGGCCTGTTCCAGGCGAGCAAGCCTGACACCGTCAAATTTGGTGAAGGTTTGATGCTGCTATCGTGCTGGGTAGACGCCATTTTGAGTGTTCAAAAACATGCGCCCCATGAGTCACCGTTTGAATTGCCCGATCTCGACGACCGTTGGCAATTTATGCCACGTCAGCATCGAATTTGCCCGGTTTTATAGATTGGGTGGTGGTTTAATTGTTTCGATCGGTGGAAATGTGGGGGGGGAATCTTGTATAAGGATTCCGACGACGGCAGGTGGCCACCGTTTACACGCCAACACGTGCCTGCCGGTTCTTTGACCGTAAGATTCGCTACAGGTTATCAGCTAACGGGGTCACTGCGACAGCTGAGGGTCTCACCCCCTAGAAATGTAACCCATGGTTATTTTAAGCCTGGAACGAGTCGATAACCGATTCCACGGACGTTGAAACTAGTTGATTCACTCACTGCCACCCGGGGCATAAGGAGAACGCAACCTGGGTCGTTCAGTTTTGATCGGAAGGTCAGGGTTTCCTTACGTAGACTCGAACTAGACATGTGGGCTTGGCAGGGTTTTGACTTAGGCGTGCACTGCAGAACCAATGGTAGCAAAGGCGCACCAAACGGCCTGAGGCCCTGATCGGACTCATCAACTGCATGCATGCACTGTTGGCGTGTTCATTTAGGCACAAAAAAAAGAAAAAAAAAAAAAAAAAAAAAAAAAAAAA